TGGCAGTAAGTAGATAACAAAACTGATATCACTAATTGATATTCATGGGGGAAAAGAAAAGAGCTGACAGAAAAAAATTATTACGGGTAAAAAAAAAATATGCGTTCAAAAGATATGTAAAGAGAAAAACAAAGGATCAATTAGATTGTTAACTGAAATGTTTGGAGCTGATTTTTATGTTTCAGAAAACATGTCTTTATCATTAATCAGTAGTTCTTTGTCTACACAATGTGCAAAAATAATTTTGAATTGAATGAAGCTCTTCTACATATTGATTTCTCAGAAAATTATGCCTGCAAATTCAGTTAAGAAGTGCAGATTTTTCACCATGGAGCATCAAGAGCTCAGGCTACTATTCTTCATACAGCTGTCCTATACACACCATCTACCAATAAGTATTTGGACACCCATGCAAATGCTGAAATCTGCGGTCCTGATATAAATCACGTCCCCTACCATTAAATATTATGTAGGAATCAACATTGCCATTAGTCACATGCAAGATGGCAAAAATTGCTGAGTTATCTGATTTTGGAAAAGATAAAATCATCAGGTATTATAGAAACAGCTGAGCCTTAACAGGTTTTACTCAAAATTGATAGTGGCATATGTGATTCAAAAGTGGAAGGTGAGTGGTAATTGTCAGAATGTGCTCCAACTTGGCAGACCCACAAAACCGTACTGCTCGGTTAATGTGGTGCAAAGCAAGTTGACAGTGGACCATTGATCATTGCAAATGGGTTCTCTGGAATGATGACTGACATTCAACTGACAAGGACATTTACTCGACAGCACTTTTCCTTGACAACATGCACATATAGAGAAAAAAAAAAAAAAATATGCAACAGTGTTTTAGTAAAATTTTTCATATTTATCTGAAAAAAAAGGCTGTTTCTGGGATATCCAACAAGAAGGTTTATGAATAAATACCATATTTTTGACTTTATTTAACGGTAAAGAAATCTGGATTTTAAAATTAGACAGAAAAGCAACCTCATTTTGGCATATATTTTGAAATCAATTTCGAAAATCAAATATAAGTCTGTATATTTTGGTTTGATTTATTTGATTACAGCAAAGCACGGTACTTTTCCGTTTTGCCGGCGCAAACGATAAAGTTGCCAATAATGGTACAACTGATGCCAAACGGAATATCTTCACTGGTAACCTTTTACGCTTCATTTTCAAAACAAGTCGCAGTAATTTCTTATCAGACTGATTGTTTCTTTCAATATTGGCATACAATTACATAGAATTTGTAGAAATCAATTTTATGCCCTAAGGCCATTTGCGGTAATTAAGTCAATTAGGATGCAATCATACCGCTCACCGGAAGGCAAAAATATAGAAAAGGCAAAATCAAGGGTTAAATTCATCAATTCTAATGAGAATGTACTAGCGAAGTAAAGCACTGCGGTTTTACATAATTTCCGAGCAAGCTATTCGTACGAATTGAAATAATTCTTGCATTTAAACTTGCATTCCAAATTAAGATTTAACTTTAAATTAATGTAGGTGATTGCTGAGAGAATTAGATTTTTGTAGCGTAGTTTACATGAGATGAGATCACTTGGGGTCATGTGATATGAACTGGCTAATCGGGATATTGAACCATGAAAGCATAGTAAATTCTTAATGTCTTTTTACAAATGTAGTGTCTTTATTTATTGGCTTTTTACAAAATTTTAAACCATATTAAAATGTTTATGCCTTCAAAATAAAAAATTCTTAGACGTAACATTTGTTAACATTTTTTATGTGTATACTGTATGCTGTTGCCAACAAAGTCTGCTTGGCAAGGCTTGCGCCGGCGAAACGGAAAAGTACCCAAAGCAGTTAGCACCTTAGGGAAGGGATGCCTTCATGGAGGATTTTCTATAGAAAGCTGCCTTGCATATACATTAAAAATGGGGAAAACCATAAAAAGGGACACGCAACCGCCTGTTTGCTGAGATTTGAGACCTGGACCGAGACACCAGTATTCAGCAACTTTACCACTTGGTCAAAAGTGGAAAAGAAAATTTCAGCAATTAGAAGAGCTAAACGATTGATTTTATATTTAAAGAAATGAGTGGAACAAAGCAAAAAGAAATGTATCATGATCTGTTATGGAAAATAATAATGAAGCATAAAAAAAGCTAAGATATTAGAATTTTAAAAGTGTTGAAAAATTAATGTTGTTAACTAAAGAAAAAAAAATTTTTTTTTTGTTAACCCTCTAAGCGACAAGAATATTTTTTGTGATATCTGTAAGAACGTATATATACTTGCATATTAAAATATGTCAAAGAAATTAAGGCGATACAGCAAAAGTACACAAAAGTAGGTATGAAATACCAGAAGAGTTTTTACATTAAAGTAAAAAAAAATCATTTGTTTTGATAGAAGTTTTGGGAAATTTGTGCTTTCTTAGAGAAAACCCTGGCTGCTCAGAGGGCTAATCTGAAAGGGTTCACAGAAATCCAATTTATGTCACATTCGTTTTCGCTTTGCTCCACTCATTCTTCACTGTATAAAATCATTTTGCTATTCCAACTACTGAAATTTTCTTTCCCACTGCTGAGATATAGAGAACTATGTCTGACTACTCTCAAAATTGATTTTAAAATCTACACCAAAATAAGGTTACTTTTATGTCTAATTTTAAAATTCACAGCTTATGGCACTTATTCATAAACTTTCTTGGTGGGTCCCCTAGAAACAGCCTTTTTTTTTTTTTTTTTTTCAGATAAATATGAACACATTTTACTAAAACAATGTAACATGTTTAATCATAGAATATATGATGCAGTTAAACCAAAGAGCAAAAGAGAAAGAACTGGCAAAAAAACTTGCATAAAATGTATGTGGATGTACCAAAATCTTTGAAGTGCTTAAGGCCTCTAAAATCCTTAATCTGGTCCTATCTAGAGGCATGGCTACAAAAGCAACAGATAATAAATAATCCATAATAACATAACCTCTTTGGCAATCTTCTTCATTAAACAAAAGTAATTCCATGGGTTCAGGATGAGAAATGAGCATAACAAAGTTAGAATAATTCAAAATCAGTGTTACAAATACTACCATATGGTAATAAAACAAAAGACAGATGAAAACAGAATAACAAAATCATGATTTGTTTTCTTTTTTAATAAGCAGGCACTTTATTTAATAGTACCTTGCACCATTACAAGGGCCGGAACTAGTGGCCATTTCATTATGGAAGCACCTTGTAGGTGGCTACTGTTGCCTCCTGTGAAGGGCAGACAGTTACAACCATGCCTTCTCTGGGATTTAAACGCTGGCCCATCACTACGGTAGGCAGGGTCACTAATCACTACACCAGCCGGACGGCTAATCATGAATTTTACCCATGGTAAAATGTATCTCTGGCATTACCATCTTCAAACTTCATGAGTATTAGGGCAAAGTTTGCATTTAACATACCTTCAGTAAAAATACAAGGTATGAAGTACATTACTATGTAGAGTGAAATTTGAAATGAAAATTTTATGATTCATTTCTATTACTTCTGTTTCTACTATATTTTTTTAAAAGATTGTATGACCCATTTTGTGCCTGAGTTTAATGAAAATTTTTTAAATTACACATTACACAAAAGAAGAGATGCTTCCACTATAATTATTCAATGACTGAAAAGACAAGAAGGTTACGAAAACTACATGGAAGTAAAATTTTCTGCAGTAAGCAAACAGGAAAATTTGGTATTGCACTTATCAAATGTACAATAAAATATTCATACAAAATTGCCTGACATTTTAGTGCATTCAATTTCATTCCTCAATGCTTCGTCCATTTAAACTCCAGCAACCAAGACAGTAGCATGCTGCAACATAGTTATGCCTAAATTCGCTATAATTGATTTACACAGTTATATAATTGATTTATACAGTTTATACAGTTATAAAAGCTGACAAATCAGACTTACAAGTTACAAACAGAATATGAATTAACAGCTACATTAGTTTTTAAATTCACAATCACAAATCACCGTTATATTTAAAATATCACTTTTTATAAACAGATTTCACATACTCAAATTATAATACAATATAAATGAAAAAGTTAACAAATACAATATAGAAAAAATGTAGTACCAATCTTTGAAACTAAAAGCAATAGATTTAAAATATGGCAAATCACTTAGAAATGTTACTTAATGAAAATTAACTTTGACTAAAATGTAAAAAAAAAAAAAAAAAAAAAAATGATACGGATCTTCAGCTTCTTTTTAGATAGCCTAACTATATGCACTGCCTATAGTGTTTGCAGATATGAAAATTCAGCTCAAATTACATGCTAATGAAGCTTACATTCTTTCATTTATACAGAATGGATTTGGATATGATTACAGCAAAGCATATATGCTAACAAAGCATCCGCCAAAGTGAAAGGATGCTTTCATATAAATAATTTTAAGAGAAACTGGTACTCATAATCGTGTTACACACGGGGAAAATCACGAAATTTTTCTGCAGACAGCTGATTCGAAAGGTCAAACTACTAGCATTCAGCAGTCTTAATACTCGACTAATGATCAGCTCCCACCTCGGAAAAAAGTATTCTTATTGTATTCTAGATTGCAGAAAACTTCTTTCCCACATTCTACTATGTTAATTTCACAATATAAGGTTATATCATTGCCTGCCTATCCATCCGATGCACTCTGCCTCATGTATTTATTAAAGAACTTTACAGTTAAAATTCACTTCTGAAAATTCTTTGAGCTCAATTTCAAAAACATATCATTCTTCTTACATTAAAAGTATAACATTACACGCTATAACAATACAAACAACATTCTGCTTTCTCGCTTTCTGCACACTAAAAGATGACAAATACGCAATTCATGTTAGGATCAGTCACCAAATTCACAAATATATCATACACTGATGATTATGATTTTTCATGGTTGCGAAATAATAATTCTCCTGTTCGATGATCAAGTGTAAAACCGATCACATAAAGATCAATACTACGAGGGCGTAAATACATACTTTTAATTCCTGAAGTGGGATGTTCTCGGAAGAAGTTGAAGATGATGAACAAACAGATTTAGAGGGTGAATGTGATCCTTTAGACCGAGAACTTTGACTTTCAGCAGATTCATGCTCAAGTTTCGAGTTTAAAGAGCTAGATTTTGACTCAGAGCCTGTCGAATTGGACGTAACAGTAACTGAACGTCCAGCATTCACGTCTAAGTCTTCTCTATACTGATCAGGTTCCATCACAGAAAATAATATGCAACTTAAAAATTAAAACCAACGAAAAAAATACGGTATTTCTGCTGATTGCAAGAACTAGTCAAAAACATTTTTACATCAAACCGCAACCTGGATGCCTACAAGCCAAAAAATATTAAACAAACTTCAAATAGACAAACCAATACTCCGCGAGACAAACATTCCTGTTACGTACGATTTAATTGCATGATTGTTGCCATGTCGGTAGCAACACAATTCCAAAACAAGACATCTGTCTACTTTGTCTGTTTGTCCTTTCCTGATGGTACAAAATCCCTCGTAGCTTAAAAACGATCTCTTTAAGGAAGGTAGCGTAAAGGAACTCATGAATATATTTATGAATTTAATCATTAGTTTTAAAATCTATTCTTCCTTTAAATAGAAGTATATACGTGATAAAATACAGAGCATATTATTAGGCTCTTTATTGACTTCAGATTGAGGTACCTTTGAATACAGAATCTTTTAATTTTTACAGTTAAAATATGAAATACGATATCATCGCATCTTGTGGAATTTTGAACAAACTTAAGACTTGAGAACATTACGGATTCCGAGGATGGACGCCAACGAGGTCGAACGCGTCCCAAACACGCCAAATTCGACGGACTCAGCCAAATTCGACGGAATTTTGTGATTTGAACGAAACTTCAATGCATATTTCGCTCAAAACTGATGTTATTAAAGATCAAAAACAGGATGAAGTTCCTCCTGTGCAATGTGACGACAAATCTGGATTAATTGCTACCTTCTACGAACTGAAACAACAATATGAGGAGATACAACGACAAAAGCGATGGATGAAGCGGGCCTCAACGCCACTGGACGCCGCCGGCTTCGAGCAATTCGACCGTGTTGATAAAACTCTTATCTTTAAAATAGACCTTGATGTTCAGATATTCAATCTTCCCTCAACCAAGGATGATTTTCTAAATGTTATCAAGAAAGAAAATTAACTAAAGAGCTTCATTTGAAAGAGAAAGAAGCACCGGGACTTGAAAGACTTAAACAGAGTACTTCTGTTGGTAAGCCAAATTCCGCGCGAAAGCGCAAAGGGCAGAAAATTGATAACGAGAGATTTATTCCCCCATCTTCGAGGAAGCAAGGTAAACCTCTGATTATTGACCTAAGTAACGATATTGAAATTGTAAATGACTGTGAAAGTGTAACTTCAAATGTTAGTAATGTAAATGTATCCAATATGGCCCCTAAATCTACTACTTCAAAAGCATCTACTGAAAGGTCAAAGAACTGGCCTACTACTGGCCAAAGCTCAAAGGTGAAAACTAGTAGAAACAAGTTCCAGGCAATAAAAGAGTCATTGTTGAACACTGACAAAGAGCCAAATTCCAAAGCTGAGGTTTTCTTTTCCCCTGGCAACCAGGAGTTAAACAGAGGAGAAACAAGTAATGATTCTAGCGAGCATGTGAGAAGTGTCTCCACACTCCGCAGGAATCAAATAATATTCACGCGAAATCAGTCAAGTAGTGGAAGACGTAAATGTCATTTTTGCGTGAGATTACACCGAATATTAAGAGCAGACACACTATTCCCTACCTAAAATTGTTCATTCAAACCGAACTTGAATTCCGGAAGATTACGCGCTGGATGAAAAATGCTGGCACCCAGTATAAGACTTTAGACCTACAGCAGGACCGGCCAATCAAAATTGTAATTAGAAGCCTCCTGGTTGAAACTGAAGTCGATGACGTTAAAGATGCAGTCGAAGGGCTCTAAAGTGCATCAGTGCGTTCGGCTGACTCAGCCACGCTCCAAAGATCCAATGCCACTTGTATATTTACAAGTACTCCTTCACCCCTTCATTGACCATCTGTTTGCTGTCCATGACATGTGGGGGGGCACAGAGGTCAGCATTGAGCGTTATCGCGGCCGTAAGGGCCCTATTCAATGCTTTCGGTGTCAGTGTTTCTTCCATTCATTGGAAGTCTGCGCCTTATCAATCCGTTGTGTGATATGATTTGAGCCACGGAATGTACCAAGCCTATGGATATTCCTGCTACTTGTTGCAACTGTGGAGACGATCATCCAGCTAACTATAGATCTTGTCCACGTTTCCTAGAAAATAAACGGACCCGTGGCAAGAAAACCATATCTAAGGATGGGGCCGTTGCCCCGGCAGCTCCAACTCAGGGCCCTTCGACTCCCTCGGCAAACGCCGTTCCAATACGTCCCACGCATGCTCGCCTCAGTGGTGTTAATCCGCTGAGTTATGCAGCGGCGGTAGGGAATGAAACTAAAAAGCTCGTACGTGATTCCAGATATCCAACACTGCCTGTTACAGCAAAAACAAAAGCTGTAACCCCAGCAGTCACCTCAGCTGAGAGCGTTGACACGGAAGATATTTTCTCCTCCACTCTAAAATGTTTGATTGACATCTCCTGCGACCATGCGGTAGACAAGCATAACAAGCATATTCTCTTACTAGCTTTCAAAAAGGTTATGCCTGAGCTTAGGCAAGCAGATGCCTTAGTGAGAGCTTTTCAAAGCTATATTGAGCTTTCAGACTGATTCGGCTAATTTTTCGTCCCATGTCTTCTGTTATCATTGCAGAACCTACCATCAACGGCCTAAAATTCAACTCACAAAGTGAAAAAAGTTATGTTACCAAAAGATCTTTATCCACTTGTACACTGAAAAAAAAAAAAAAAAAGAAAAGAAACGGGACAGTACTATATCTCCCGTTCTACTGGGGCGATTCACGAAATTCAAATTGCGTTCTTCATGTCTCGAAAGCGCGACTTAGGATATATAATAGATTTATATATAGCACTATTCTAACATAGGTATTTTGACACAAAATCGGACTTTTTCTGAAATAACATACCAATGTTTTTTTTTTTTTTTTTTTTTTTTTTTTTTTTTTTTCCGAATTTCGATTCTACGACTCAAATTATGCCAGTATACCAAGTTTTGTAAAAATCGTACGAGTAATTTTTAAAATATTAGCTCCTCAATGTTAATTGAATTTGGCAAATATTTATTAATATCTCTTTTTTTAATAAAGGTTTTTGATTTTTCCTTTCACATTTCGAAATTTAGGCTCATTCCAAATAAAATTTACCTATTTTTTGTGTTCTATTTTTTAAATTTCTATTTTTAAATAATTTTCATAAATTTTTCGAAAAAAATTATGAATTGCACCCTATAAAAGTTTTACAATCATCTTAAAGTAAATGTATTTCTAAGCATACCTGCAAAAAATTACTTTTTTATTCAAAATTTTCTAAGATATACACGAATTTACATATTTTCGCGTTTTGAAATTTGGCATATTTTTTTGAGCGACAATAACGCCAAATGTAGTTTATGGATTTTTGTTACACTGAATTGCCACAGCTATTTTTAACCTTAAATTTCAAGTAAAATTTTACGGAGAATTAATTATATGAAATTTTTTCCCTCAATGATGCGTAATAAATATTTATTAATACTATATGAAAAGCTATTTTTCTTTAAATTATTAGATGATATTATTCAAATTTTTAACTATTTTTCTTAAAATTTCTCTCCTATTCTTCCTTTTTTTTTTTAAAAAAAATATTTGTAAGAGTAAATTTTTATCCTTCGGCGTTTTAAATCGTCGCTGCTACTTTAAGTTAACTTCGTTTAAATCGAATTGTCTAAAACTGAGAACTTTCGTTCGATGTTTATTTGAATTTTGCGAAAATATTTTATGACGTTAACTGCATAATTTATTTCTAAACAAGTTGTTGCTTATGAAGTGACTGAAAGAGCGGATGATACTATCATCCATATTTTTAAGGCACAGTATATTTTTATAGAAACATAAGATTTAGAATAATCATTTTTATAAAAGTCAAACTATGATATAAACATACAACCCTCTAGAGACCGAATAAATGGCAGTTTAATGGTTATGTAGAAATGATCTGCAGCTACTTAATGGCTGGATAAGTCAGCAGGTTCTGTGGACAAGTAAGAATAATTATATAAACAACACCCAAATTCTGGATTCAATTAACAACGAGGGTACGATGTTTATTAAATGAATCTAAGAAGTTTTTAAACATAAAAAAAATCAACTCATTTTTTATCCTAAAATGTATTTCTATTTGTAGCGTATTTTCATTATATCCTTAAAATTCTATTTTAGAATGTAATTGTTAAGAACTGAATTCTAATCATAATTAATATAATAAGTAATTACGGTTATTAATAAATCCTTTTTGTAAAGTAATTGCAAATATTTCAAAAAACTTTCTGTCTGAATGAAAATATTTCTAATTTTATATTAATCAAGATTGCACACGATATTATTTATTTGCACTTCAGTTCTTACCGTCAACTCTAGTAGAAGTTACAAATCAGAATGACCATCTAAGTTTAGAAACAGCGTACCGTAACAGCAATTCAATTATTAGCACCGTATCTTTCATGCTACTCCCGATTGGCAAGCTACATCGCGCTTAAACTAGGGTAGTTGGTTATTTGAACATAGAAAGAACATGGGAGCTATTTGGTTAAGATGCTTTCATACAGAACCTTTGTAAAGAGGACCTAAAAACTACGAAAACCAACCATGCAAGCCTGGGTTAGACTTTGCAACAAACAATTAGTATTTAACAATCTTCAACTGGTGAGGCTCCAATTTAATATTTTATTTTCTAATATTTAAAATATTGTTGTATTCTTAAACACAAAAAGCAGAATTTAAGTTTTGTTAACTCGTTAGTAAACTACCAAGCCGTAGTGCAAATGAATATTCAATTTGTTTTGAAATAATTGTATTCACTTAATATTCTTGGAATATGAGCTAAGGAAGGAATGTTCTCGGAAGATTAAAGAAGTGTTTAAATCCAGTGATATTAAGTTTGTCTTAAAAGCTCAGAATCAAAACGATTCTGCAATTGCCCGAGTAGTTGACTTGTAAATAAATGGTTGTGAATTAAGCAGATGACTTTCAATCTTACGTTATTCAGTCAAATGTTCCAAATGTTTTGTATTGCATGACAATGCATCTTTTCATTGTTCAATAATCAATCAGCGAACCGCTTGTATTCCGAAAATAAGTATGTGTACTCAGTCGTCCTGCATGTTCTTGAAATTTGTCTTGTGATTTTTTTCTTTCCCAAAAACTAAAGTTGCCTCTCAAAGGATTTTGACATTGAAGAAACAAAAGGGGTAGGACATCTACTTTTAGAGGCATGT